TTAGTGACTGTCAAATACAGATGTTCATTAGCAAAGAGCGAGATACCAACAGAAGATGATATCGTGTCATGACATTGTATCAGATCGATTTGGACATTGTCGCCAAATTTGGGTCCTAGCAGAAACTGCTCTCACGTGTCAAGGTCTTCAGCGAACTTATGACAATGAATCAGTATTCTGTCATCTCCAATTTACAACACAGCTTCCAAAGCTGCTACTCCTGCGTCTGAACGACCTGCTGTGTCTCCGTGTGACATCGGAACATGAACTCCCACTGAATGGAGTCAAATGCAAATAACGTCCCCACAGCATATGAGTGTGTTATGCTCAAGACTCTTTTCCCAAAAACTGCAGTCCGCGACACGAACTATCAAGAACTCTTGTTCAACAAGTCGAGAGACTGCAGCGCGACCTGTCCTTCAATGCTTCGTTGAGAGAAAACAGAGAGACCAAAAGCGAAGCTAGTTTGTTGATGTATCATCCAGAATTCATCTCCTGTAGCCATCCAGAGTCTGAAGCATCATCCGACTAAGGGATAGTCCAGATCCGAAACAAAATATTAATATTTACACTCCCCGTTTGAATGCATAGACCAACTATGCATTTTTTTCTTTCCGCTTTTCTCCAAAGCACAAATTCTACCCTTCTACCCACGGCACCTGTTCACTTCGAAGTGACTCTCCCCTCATCCTGATTAATGAACGAATAGAACCACGAAAAGAGAACCAAGAAAATCGCAAACAAAAACCTGAACACAACAACAGAATCACTGACAGAAAATCAAGAAAAACAAAAGCCAAAATCTGAACACACTACAGTCAGTTTTTTGACTAAAATAAATGTCAAAACACAAATACACAAAGAGTCGAGCCAAACTCACTCCCAAAAGAGACATAGAGTCGAAACTAGCGGGACTAACATATCCCTACGCGAAAGGCTCAACTCAAAGAACTGACAGTTCTTTGAGTTCGCCACGAATATAAACCTGGAAAGTCGACCTAGCCTGCGCTCCGCGTCTCAACGTTACCCGACTCACACTCGAATCCAACGTGTCTGAACTCAAATTGACACGTCAATCTGCAACTGCACTAACGTGCATACACATGACATCTTTGAATTCAAATATCATATTGTCTTTAATAAGCATAATCTCAGATCGCCAAGATACAACACATTTATAAATTGTGGAAAGTGAGCTAACATAGATGAGAATTTTCAATATAAATTAGGGTTATAAACAATGAAAATTGATCAAAAAGGGTGAGAAAATTTGTAAAATGATTTGAGTTTTTTCTCAATTGTAAAATGGTTGAAACAACAAAATGAAAATAATGTAACACAAATAAAAATGGACGGGGTTCAATGAAAGTATTATGTGGACAAATAAAGTGCAATAAGTTGAGTTTACAAAACCACCATTTCCGTTTTTTCTCGCATTGTTACTAGAGCAAATTATAAGAAAACGCCGACATGACGGCAAACGAATGCAAGGAAGATATGGAGCAATGAGGGAAAGTCAAGGCAGGTTTAGGGTGTGGTTCAATAATAACAGTACTATCACTATTTGCAATAGTGACATGATATTATCTAAGAGTGATGGTTCTAACTGTAATTTTCAAACAAAAAAAAAATTTGATTCTTCATTGCTCTTACTCTAACTGAACTATCAACCTTTGACTTTTGCTTGCCGCTAACATGGCTTGGAACCATATCACAAACCTTGTCTTGACTCCCCATCACTGCCCCATACCTTCCTTGCACTCGCTCTCCCATCATGTCTGCTACCCCAGCTTCATCTAATAGTAACGCAAGAAAAAATGAAATGATGGTTATTTATTCTCGACTTATTAAAATGTATTTGTCCACATAATCTTATCATACAACCTCGTCCATCCTTATTTCTATTATATTATTTTCGTTTTGTTGTTTCAATCATTTCACAATTCAAATTAGACACAAATCACTCTACAAATTTACTCACTTTTTATTATTTATAACTTTGATTTATCATTTATAACTTTGATTTATCTCGTAGATCTCAACTCTGATTGTTCACTTTCGACAATTTATAAATATGCTTTACCTTGGCGACATGAAGTTTCGCTAACTGAAGACAATCCGATATTGAAATTCAAAGACAAGTACTATCTGCCAAATGATCTGCTAAATATTTAGCGAATCCGCGAAACTTGCAATAAAAATGCTTCTATGTGAATGCTACCCAACCTAGTGATATGAAAACCTAGCACCAATTTGTGTCATTATTGGAAAGTTCGACTCTTGGGGAGTGTACATCTAGGCTATCTAGAAACAGATAAGACAAAATCATCCGTACACGATAATGCATGACAACCATAGTGTATCCAAAACGAGCATTGAAACAATAGGTATGCCTTTACGCACACAAGGAGATCTTCAACTCTACCCGGGAACAAATGGAACATAGCCGTAATTCCTTAGTATGGAGAAGTAAGCATAAAACGCTGCGCAAAGTAGGAATTTTGGAGTAGAGGTTCAGGCAGAAAGCCAAGTAAAACCACAAAGAGTGCTTCAAAGGAAACCACATCTCACACTAAACCAGAGAATGTTTGGTGTGATTACACAACAGAAAACATTAATATTATCAATAAGCTTCAAACGAGAGATATCAGAAGGAAGCCTGAACCTGTATCATCGACACAAGCTGAAACAAAGAAGCGGATGCAAGTATACGATGTATCTATCAAACGAGAGATATCAGAAGGAAGCCTGAACCTGTATCATCGACACATGCTGAAACAAAGAAGCGGATGCAAGTATACGATGTATCTATCAAACGAGAGATATCAGAAGGAAGCCTGAACCTGTATCATCGACACATGCTGAAACAAAGAAGCGGATGCAAGTATACGATGTATCTATCAAACGAGAGCTATCAGAAGGAAGCCTGAACCTGTATCATCGACACATGCTGAAACAAAGAAGCGCACGGTGAGACACAATGAGAGACGCGGAAAGCGCATGAATGAAAGATACTTGAAGCTTGGTGACCTATGATGACAGTGTGTGCTGTGCAGCGCGATGGTAGAGAATAGCTGCTGCGTGCAGTTCAAATCAATGGTGTGAAGTCGATGGTAGACACATGGCAGGTAGCTCTCTGAAGGAGATACTGAGGGTGTGAAGAACCGTCTTGACAGAAGCCTTCGTGCGCGCGGACATTTGACCCACCGCTTTGGAGCAGCCGCGAAGGTTTCAGAATGTCCGGGAAATCGCCGGCGTGTTTCCCGCCCTTTGTTCCTCGATCAAAAGTGATCAATGCCTAAGTCACGGCAGAAACAAAGGGTCCGGGAAAAGTACCGGGAATTATGGCATTTTGATATCTTCCTATGATAATCAAAAGATTTCAAAAGCTGAAGATCTCGAATGGAATGGACAAGAGCTGAGCCGTTCATCCACTTGTAGATGTAACGGTGGATCATGTAACCTAAACTCAACAGTTTACTGTTAATGAGACTCGAATTTTAAAGAAGCCCGCAAGACCCGCTCACAATTTTCACAATGCTAATTCATTTTAACTTGTCTTGACAGAGAAGACTTGTACATATCTTTCAAAGAAAGATATGTAGAAAGACTGAAATAAAGAGTAATATTTGAGTAGAATATAATTGCTGAAAAAAAAATTCATTTTCATCTCTTTAAAAAAGTATCTTATACTTAAGTTTGATGTACTTCTTACATCTATATGTCGAGCAGAGCTAGAACTCTGGACCTTTATAAAGAAAATTATGAATCAATTTTTATCTTGTTATTAAACTTCAATCTGAATTCAAAGAAAAATCCTACAAAAAATGAGTCGATAAACTTTATTCGATTCTTCAAGATGTCTTATTCTTGAAGAAGATGTACATCGAATTCTTGGATGATATCAATCAGTTTGAAATTATCAAGAGCGGAAAGAAGATTCTATTAATTGAGGGTAATTTACATCCTTTATTCTGATGACATTCGACAGAATTTCTTTCATCTGACAAGGCATGTAACAATCATAATTTTAAATAATTTAGATTTCTTTAGTATTTTATATTATGTACGGCATAACTGTTCAATAATGTTATCAGAAGGGCCAAGCTCTTAGTTATCCGATTAACTTCGATTTTATGATGTTTAATGAGATCTAGTGAAAGAACTTTTTTATCTGTTCTTTTTTTTCCCAAATGAGAGCAAAAGAATGGTCAGATATCATCCAGAGGTTTATGAATGAAATCAAGAAAGTAATCTATGCATCAAATTATTTATAAGATGCCTCGTGAGTATCACAAGCGTTTATCAAAATGACGGATGGGTTTTGGATTTAGATCCAGTATATGTTTATTGTCTCGAGAACGTTACATCAACATGCACTTTTCTACAATAAACTTCTCAATTTAAAGAATAAAATCAAGGATTTCGTCTAGATATTCATCTTTTCCGTTCTTTCAAAAAACCTTAAAAATATATGCCGATTTTGCAAATTTGACATATACTCTAATATTTCCTGTGCATATGTATTTCATATTCTTTTAAAGTCATGGAGTAGATTTCATAGCTTCCTATGAATTGCTTTCAGAATACCAACTAAGGGAGATATTGCGCGCTGCAAGAATTTAGTTGAAAAATGCTTATTATGTCATGATCAGGCGCATGAGCAGACACAATCTGTGTGCATTTGAAGTTTGTTATGAGACCAGGTTTTAGTCTATACGTATTGTACAGTGGAACTTCTGTCTTTCTATTTTACTCATAAGTCTACACGTCAGATTAAGAAAATCCAATCCTGAGTTTAAGGTCGATTTCAATTCAGCGTGGCACCATCCGCAAGACAGAACACACTACACGTGATTACCAACTGTACCTATAACCACTTCAGAGGACTCACCTATGAAGTGTGGAAGAGACATATAGTTAACCTCACACCAATCACTGTACGTGACAACAAAACAAGACCCTTATCCAATTCAGACATTTTGACCTTCACAGGGTGTATAAAATTTTTCTTACCGTCCTTCAAGATGTATTAGTCAGACGGTGCAAGCCCAAGAAGCTATATTTATGTTCTACTATATTGCACCGGGGACTTGTGAGAGTGGCAAAGGTGCTGATCCGAGTAATATGGTTTATTGTGGTTAGAATGTAGCCAGGACCTGGCTCTCATTGAAGCAAAGCTGCATTCATTTGATACATGTACATGTTTTTGTCAAAACATACTACTTGTTCTCGCTCACGAAGTTGCTAGAAAATGACTTCCGACAAAACCTAATTTTCGGATGGACCTCTCACACTTTCCCCCAAAACAGCTGAATGGAACTGAACTATTTCAAATCACCATGAGCCTCCCTCGCCTATGCCGACTTTCGTTCAAAGACATTAGAGCACCGAGCAATTCGCGTTGTTACTACTGCTTAAGACCGTCTTTTCTTCTCTTCACAAATAAGGTGCTGAAAAATCCGTCACTCATCACCACCCCTTGCATGGTGGAGTTTCAGGTTCATGTGGTTCTTTGGCTAAGAATTAAACTATGTCGAAATTAGCTACTCCGGAAAAGAACGAGGGGTGAGTGAGTGTGTACGAAGGTTGTCACTCTTATATCTAAACATGGCTCTAACACCCACATCTGAACTTTGTAATATAAATCTACATAACCTCCTTGGCCTTGGCGACCACGTTCTCGGCGGTCAATCCAAACTCCTTGTACAAGATGTTGATGGGAGCAGAGGCTCCGAATCGGTCAATACCGACCTGCCTTCCCTTGGATCCAGTATACCTCTCCCATCCGAATGTCGCACCGGCTTCAACGCTGACTCTGGCGGTGACGGCGGCGGGCAAGACGCTCTCCTTGTACTCTGCACTTTGCTCCTCGAACAACTCCCAGGATACGAAGGACAACACTCGTACAGTCTTGCCCTCGGCCCTGATCATGTCAGCGGCTTTCATGCCGATCTCCACCTCTGATCCTGAGGCCATGATGATCAAATCGGGCTTGTTGGAAGAGGAGTTGTCGCTGACGACGTATGCTCCCTTGGCAACATTCTCGATGGATGAACCGGCAAGGTGGGGGAGTTTTTGCCTGGACAGAGCCAAGACTGATGGGGTCTTGCGTCTCTCGACGGCAATCTTGTAGGCTCCTGCGGTTTCGTTTCCGTCAGCAGGTCGGAACATCAAGATGTTGGGCATAGCCCTGAAGGAAGCCAAATGCTCAATGGGCTGATGGGTGGGACCATCCTCTCCCAAACCGATGGAGTCGTGAGTCATGACGTAAATGGCACCGGCCTCAGAGAGGGCGGAGATACGCATGGCGGCACGAAGGTAGTCGGTAAAGATGAAGAAAGTGGCGCAGTAGGGGATGAGTCCACTTCCGTGAAGGCAGATTCCGTTCACGATGGCTCCCATGGCGTGCTCACGGACACCGAACCGAAGGTTCCTCTCGCCGGGGGTTGCTTTTTGGAAGTCACCGAACATCTTCATCAAGGTCATGTTGGACGAAGCAAGATCAGCTGATCCTCCGATGAGACCGGGCAACACACGGGCCATGGCGTTAAGCACAGTCTGGGACAAGTTACGAGTGGCATCGGCCGGACTCTCGGCAGTGAAGGTCTGCACATCAATGACATAATCAAATAGCCAGGTTAATCTCACAAGGATGTGGTGTCAGGAGCAATGAAGGCGACATCAAGATTCCCTCTGAAATAGAACTTGAATACTTCCGATAGCCTACACAACGAAGAGGAAAATAGTCAAGGCACTAAGATGTAACGAAATATACTTACGGGAAGAGCCTTCTCCCATCCAGTAGGGAGCTTCTGAGAAATGAGCTGCTTGAACTCGGCTGCCTCCTCGGGGTACTTTTGCTCGTAAGCAGCTAGGCTCTCCTCCCATGAGGCCTCGAGGGCTGGTCCATCGGTGAGGTGCTTGCTCCAGTGTCTGCAAACAAAGTACAACACGAAGTATGCTCAACATGCGTGCAATGACTACAGTCCGGGTCAAACTATGAGGCGTCGAATTCAATTTGGGCCCTGAATATGAGAAAACTTACGCTGACACTTCCTCTGGCACGTGGAACGGTGGGTGCTCCCATCCAAGGTTTTGACGGGTGGCATCAACTTCCTTGGTGCCGAGGGCGGCACCGTGAACAGCGTAGGAGTTGGCCTTGTTTGGTGATCCGAATCCGATGGTGGTGGTTACCTGTGGTTAGAATTTCGAGATTAGAACCGGAACTAATGATCCAAAAAATAACTCCGAAAGACTTTAACAATGCAGATTACAAAGCACTCCTAGGTCATGTGCAAAGAAGATATATCAATACATTTATATGGCTGACGAAACCAAGACACCAACAACAGAAAAGACCTACCATACGCTAATCAGCGTGAGAGCGAGTACCTTGATCATGGTGGGCTTGTCGGTGACAGACTTGGCTTCCTCGATGGCAGCGCGGATAGAATCGTAGTCAGTGTTACCGTTCTTCACCCAGATGCAGTGCCATCCGAGAGCCTCGAAACGGGCATCAACGGACTCAGTGAAGGCAATCTCCGTGTCACCATCAATGGAAATGTGGTTGTCATCGTAAAAGGCGATAAGCTTTCCCAGACCCCAGTGACCGGCAAGGGAAGCAGCCTCGTTTGAGATACCCTCCATGTTGCATCCATCTCCGAGGATACAGTAACTGAAAGGTAAAAGGGAGATTCAGGCCATAGAACTTAAAATTCAAAATATTTCGCTGGACGCGGCATAGACAGACTAAGGCACTTGCCCAATCCTGCTCAGCTAAAGCAAAAGGAAATGTTTGCAAGCAATCAACATTGAGATTGAAAGAAAAATACGTGTAGTGGTCGACGATTTTGGCATCTGGCTTGTTGAATCTGGCAGCCAAGTGAGCCTCAGCGAGAGCCAAACCAACCGCGTTGGCGATTCCCTGTCCTAGAGGACCGGTGGTAACCTCAACTCCGGGAGTTTCGAAGTTCTCGGGGTGACCGGGTGTCTTGCTGCCCCATTGTCTGAACTGCTGCAAATCCTCCATCTGTAACAATGCCAACTTCATTAAACTTTTGTTCCACAGGTTTAATCATCGTGACAGTATATCAAAATGTTGATATTCTGCTTGTGAGCAATGAGTAAGTCAAGGAGTGTAAAGCCTCTTTCAGACACAACTGAGCCTTGGAATAGAAGGAGAATTGCTTGACTAAGCGCAAGGATCGGCCCCGGGCGAGAAAGCGCGCTTAGCCAGGAGACTTTAAAGTTGATGACTTCCGGGAAACGGGAGACATTACTGTCGGAAGTAAAATGGTGTAAAAGGCAAAAGGCAAAGCCAGGTTCCACACTTCCATCTTGCAAACATGATACAAAGGCATTGTAAAAGTGGTAGACTCATAACAAGTTTATAGGCTACGGAGCAAGAAATTCGGTACTGATACACGTCATTGGCTCAGTGGAGGGATCGCACTTCAGGAAGAACAAGTATGTCCCGCGCGCAAGTGTCACAGAGTGGAACAGCAACCACAACCGACAAAAGGCACAAGAGATCGAAAACATACCCTGCAGGCATCGTAGCCGGCCAAGTGCAGGAGAGCATATTGGAGCATGCATCCGTGTCCAGCTGAGAGGACGAATCGATCACGATTGAACCAGTAGGGGTTCTTCGGGTTGTACTTCATGACCTCGTCGTACAAGATGTGACCCATGGGTGCGCAACCCATAGGGAGACCAGGGTGACCGGAATTGGCCTTCTCGACGGCATCGATGGCCAAAAATCGGATAGTGTTGATGGATTTCTCGACCAAAGCGGTGTCGGTCTTCTCCAAGGTCTCGACGGCAACGGCCTTCGTGACGACGGCCGCGCTCTTCTGGGCAACTCTGGCGACGGGAGCAGGCGCTGCGCGCACATTGCTCACTCTCTTCAATCCCATGAACCTGCCGAGAGCCGCACTGGGCGTGGCCACACCCACGGCCCTCTCTGCTCCTGCAACCGCCCTCGCGACTCCCGCCACGGGAGCCACCGCTGCGACATTACACCTGAGTGCGGCCATGTCTGCTGCTGCTGCTACTCTCCAATCCACAGAACCTGCCGCTGCTGCTTCCCGAGCTCGCTCCTTTGAGAAATCAGGAGCAGGAGAAGAGTGAGAGACAGGGAGAGAGTGGTGAGAGTGAGTGAGGAAGTGCGCTGCTGCTACTCTGCTCTTCTCCTCTCCTCTACTAGTTGTTGTTGCTTCTCGGATGGGGGCCGCTGCTCGATGGTGTGGTGAGGGGATGGCAGAGGCAGGGCAACCGGACGCGCCCAGAGATGGATTGTGCCACCTCCTTCGTTTGCCACTTCTATCCACAGCCCAAGAACGGAAAAAAGAGAGCCACGGACCACCACAGAAACTGCGCTCACCACACAATAGGATAAATCGACCGCACAGCCCAATCTCTTCTCCCCCCACCCCCACCCCCACCCCCCAACCTCTCTCTCTCTCTCTCTCTCTCACCCTCCCTCCCTTCCGTGCCTTACTTCCTTCCTTCCTTCCGTCCTTCGTCCCTCGGGCCCTCCCAGAAAAGACTCAACTGTGTCATCCGATGGCGGGCTCTGTTGGATTGGATGCCGATTACTCGGGGCCTCACTTGAGTTCTCGACACGATCTGCCTCTCCCCCTTCCCCTTCGGCCGGAAGTGAATTTAAAAGCGAATTGTTCGCCCGAAAACTTCGCCCTGTGTGGCGCTCGGAGCTCTTTTGTCTTAGAGAGGATGAGCATTTTTGTGTTTTCCAGCCTTTTGACCCTTTGGGTCCCCCGGGTTTGATCTCTTACCATTTACCATCTTCGGTGCAATGTTCTCGTGTTCATACTTTGAGATAATTTCAGAGCTGCTCATCCATCTCTCCTTGTTATATAGTACAGTGTGGTGCCTGTGCGAAAGTTGGTGTCACTCGAGAATTACGCTTCTCTTCTTTGTGGGGGCTTTGATGGTAAACGTTTACTGGGTCTGGTGTTTCTCAACATTTTAGAGTGTACGACTTTTCGACTCCTTTCTTGCACTTCTGGGAAGACCGTTATCAAAGAACTCCCTTACGAAAGAAGGCAAAGATGTGAGCGACTTTGGAACATTGAAGACGTGCGTTAAGTTATCCATAATATTCACATCCTTTCCTCCCCTTATTTAGTATCTGGAGACATATGGAGTCGCATTTGATTCCATTTTGAGATGATATGAATTTTGCAACCTACGAGTGTCTTGAATCACATGATAAACGTAAGTAGTACACACTTATGAGCTACTCTACCAACTAATTTATTGATATTATTATTAACTACAGAAATCGTTTGTTGATTATTATATTTACTCAATCAGAAAAAGAGTCAGATGGCCGGTCCGTGAAGTCTCAAGCGAAAACAGAACATAGCGAGAGAAGGCTCCACAAAGGTCGAAAACTGAAATCACAGTGAACCAAGTTGAGAAGGTCTTAGAAGTTCCTTCAACCGCAATTTTTGCAAAATCTCCACTCTTTCGCTTAACCGAACCGTGGAGTTCGATGAACTTGCGACTGAAGATTCTGAACCTCCTTGGGGAAAAGAGGGCTTTTGACTTTTGCTCGGGTCGCCCAACACACGGCAGAACCCATGTGGTTACTTACTGGTTGGTGTTTACCTACTCGACAGTCGTCGTCTCTAAGACCGCCCGTCCTTCTTGACTCCTGGGTTCGAGTTCCACGCTGACTTGGATTGCCTTCTCTACGTAGCAGCTGGAGAAAGAAACACAAAGGCTCTGCCCAACCAGCGCCAGCGGTCGGTTGCTGTGGATGGGGGCCGACTCCGCCCGGTCGAACTTGAACAGAGGGAGCGCCTACTTGTGTTCCTCCAAAACTGGAACAGTGTAATAGCGTCTGTTGTGAACTTTAATTCTCTGTGTGTCTATCTTAACAATAGGTTGAAATCATGTGTCTTAGGGGCTCAGATATTATCGACAGGAAGATGTGAAAAACAGACAATAGAATTCCACTTTATTAATGAACCACAGCCTTTCGAGATAGTCTAAATGAGTCTTCCACACAATCCATTATGTGTTCGAATTTTTTGAGCTTATTGTTTTATCACTCCACAGACATCACTAATTAATGATTTATTCATTGGAAAATTCGTTTATGTGATCCTCATTTTCTGCTACTTTACTTGTAGACCAGTTGAAAACATGGTTCCCAAATTTTTGGTACAGTGGTGATGTTATTGGATACTGTACGTTTGCTTTCAGGCGGGTAAGGGATGATGGGATTCTTTGCATTTCTTTGCTTATTCACTCGGCCAAATTCGAATTCAAGTTATAATGAACTTGAGCCGATAAAAGAGATCACAGTGAACAATCACAGTCACATATCACTGAACAACCACGAAGAATCCACCTTCCTGCCCGGGACGTTGCCTGAATACATTTCGTTTCGTTTGGCTTTCGCCTTCTGCAATTTTTCTTTCTCTTGTGCTCGGTTGGGTCTTCCCTCACTAACTCTTTTCTCCGAGTCTTTGTGTTTGGCCTCACATTAATTAGAGAATGACCAACGACAAATTCTACCCCGTTGTCTGGAACTTGGTGATACAACACTATTCCTTGAAGTAAAAGTGAGGTCAAATACATGTGGAAAACGATGGGAATACACAAGTAATCCAACAAGCCCAACAAGGAACCGAACAAGGGGAATTAATAAAAAAAACTCACATCACAATGGTTCCAGCCCATGTAGCCCTGAAGTCCTTGGCTTTTCAAAGTCCATGTTTTATGCTATTCCTCCGAAACGAGAAGCAATGTTTGAGACGATTCGCGAAACGTGTAAGTATACGTAAGCAGAAACCTAGGATATAAGCGATTCAACACTAAAGCAAGCTTCCTATTTCTAGCAATTCGCTTTCCATTCAAGCTAGATAATTCCCACCTGCCACTCCACAAACTATAATAAGTAACAAACATATCCGCCACGAGAAGCATCTTGATAGAATTTTCAATATTACAAACGACCGAGAACGTACACAGTGATGAAACAACTATGAGGGCTATTCAGCTTATAGCAGAGAAAGTTTAGGTTTCTTTGAATAAACGTGTACTTGGAAATCCACACCTGATTTAAACAGTTAAGCCTTAACCTGGCTTCGAGGAATAGTCCCAGTCCTTAACCGTTAAGGCCCAGGACTATTCCTCGAAGACAAATCGAGACCACCGAATTGTTGAGGACAAAATACGACGAACAGCTTTTGTCGGGAAAGCTCGCCATCTCGGCTTCGAATGAAAACTATTCTCGTCACCGTAGAAAAACATCCGACAGATAATACGAAAGGCTGAAGATATTGTGGATTGAAAGCAAACGGGTGGTCACGGTAGATGCCGACGAACTCCTACGTTATCATCAACTTTTCCACGACGGAATATACCACAGTGGACGAAGATTCCAACGCACATCCTTCGATCCTTTTTCCTGACCTATTCGTTGTAGGTTATGCAGCGGCACCAATGGCCTTCGAGCAGACAGTCTATGTCTACGTCCGCGATCTTAGACCCTTTTATGTGATACAGTGACTTTCCACTTTGCAGGCCAGAGCTGGGTTAAAACTCAATCTTCCACAGTCGAGGGCGGCCTTTGCATATTGACAACTCGTAGGACTTGTGAACAGAGAACGTCATGGTACCAAGAGGCAGTGCTTTGACTTCCATCAATGGCAATGCTATCTTCGCTCCCCCTAAATGATGTACGGCTCGATGGGGTCTTCTAAACCTTTTTGGTTATCTCGAGGGCGCCAAGTGGATAGAATGAAGATGGAATCCACTTGTCCTGCTTGGGTTCCTATATAATAGGTTTCTATCATCTTTTTTTCCAGTTCTCATATCTCTCTCCTGTAAAATATCTTCGTAGGTATAGTAACCAGCCTTACATTTCTAAGCCTCTTCCACAAAGGTTTGCGTGCAGCACTGAGTACAATTGACAACTTTAACAAAATACACACTTCTGTTAAGAGGTGGTAATTTAATTCAAACACCAACTCTGCTGGTGATACTATTGACTCATTCTACCATTTGGTTTCATCCACGCGCGACTTGATGGGCTTCTCGTCTTTTTTCCTAATACCTTGTACAAATTTCCTTAAAAAAAATAAAATAAGTGCACACTCCAGAACAATAAACTACGAAAAATATGGATTCATGTACACATATGTGATTAAAATCTCCTGAAATCAATCAATCTAAAGACTGGAGACTGTGGAATTCATTATACTCAAGGCATTTTCGAAAATTCACCTCAGTGTTGTATTCCCTGAGTTTCCACTCAGAGGATATCTTTCCGTTCGTGTAACCACAGTTTCTTAGAATACTTGAACAGCGATCACTAACTGCGACACTCCGTACATAATGCATCACATCAGTACACCACTACGTAAACTATATACTGTATACTTGCATGCCGAAAGCTTCATCTGCTGTACTGTACATGCATGTACAGTATAGTGTGTATGTCCTCTCCTAGACCATATCCCTCGCTCTTCGGTCACGTCGTGGATGGACGGTATTTCGAACCACGAAAATGTGGCGGAAGGTAAATGTGAAGACTGGTGTGCCCTGTCCGAATGGACGGGGTAAAGGACGCCACGTGTGGCTGGAAGGACAAGCATCAGGCCGGACCGTACCGCCGCCGTTGGATACAGTGGCAAATTTGACCCTTACCCCGCGTTGAGAGTATCGTGACTCGCTATTTTATGATTTCAATTCTCATCATGATCGCCGCAACCCTCAATAGAACCCTCTCCGTTCTAAACTGATCGTTTGTGGCTCCCCGCATCTTCCAACAATGGCCCCATCTCAAGCCTTCTGGCAATTGGGAAATTTGATAGATTTATATCAAATAGTTTTATTTCCTTTTCTGTGTTTGCCGAGTTGAAACATCTAGACCGCTAACGATACTAAATTGCAAAAATAAATCTCCTAAAATATTTATCTAACTTGTAATCATGTGGCAATTCACCCAACTGTTGAAGAGACATGATGATATGGCTGTGGTGTTCTGTAATGTACAAATAATAGATACCAGTCTTCTAACTACTCATCATATGTTAAGACGTATCCTGAACCCCACTCATTCCAAATTGGAACAATTATTCGAAACTTTTTCAATTCTTATCTTATTTTTATATGATTTAAATATCTATATTAAAAACAGGTATATAAAAAATAATTTGAAGAATCAAAAAAATAGACATTTCAATTATTAACTCTTCGCCTACAAATCAAAACATAAACTACTGATTCAATAATGCAATTAAAAAAAATTTGAAAAAATCCCACAAGATTGTACAAATCATGTAAATGTAGATTATCTTGCCGCCAAACATTTCATAAAATCATAAGCATGCAAGTCTTTCAAATAAGAACTTTCAAAATAATAAAAAAGGGAAAAATCAAATTCAAAAATATTTAATATATGTCAAAAGAATTTCATCCA